CCCCTTTAATTCGGGTGAGAAAGCGGGTTTTTTTTTTTGACATCCTGGCATGCCGGGCTGCATAGATGCATTTTGCAGCATTAAGGTTAACGATTAATCGATTAATTGATCGTTAATTTAAACGACGATCGATCATGGAAATTATCGAAAATTGACATCCCTAATGACAACGTTGATGAACTCCAAAATTCAATGTGTGTGCTCATTTCTGTTAAACTTGGCTGAGCTGACACTTGCTAACCTTGAGCTGAGGCAATAAAAATATTAGCTCAGCAAAGATAAAGGGATCATCCAGTCTATTAGACTGCATGAATTACTCATGTCTGCACTAGAAAGAAGGCTCAAGGTGAAGCGAACAAGATTACACACCAGCTAAATCAGCCACAAAGTGAACTTTACCCTCAGTCTACATGAGTGAATGACTGCCTTCACATTCAGTGAGCAATAATTGTGAATTTCTATTGCATGTACCATGCACAGGCAAAATTCAGCTTGATTTTTTTTTTTTACTTCTACAATCATGGAAATGTTTCAGGCTTGTGTAAGTATACTGCTTCTCACCTGCTACAAGATATTGGCCTGCTTTGTTCCATTTAGGGGCCAGTCTAGCAGTCACAGAATAAGACAAACACGTCTGCAGAACCGCAGGAAATACCCTTTGAGGAGGGTTGAACTGCGGGACAAAAAGAAAGAGATTATGAGAAGCACAAATGCTATTTTAACACTGCGGGCAAAAGATTCTTTTTGCTCATAATGAGACTCATATCGGTTTATTCATAACAGTTTGAATAGTACAAATCGATTCTAGCATCTGGGGTCCTAAATCAGATACAGGTCTGATGTTTTGCGTTGTCACCTCAGTCTGAACAGTTACATTCATTCATGAGAATTTTCAATCTTTCTAAATCTATATTCTTGGCAATTCTGCAGTCATTTATTACTATATAATATTGTAGAATATCACATTATTTACACATACCGTATGTATATATATATATATATATATATATATATATATATATATATATAAATCAGGCCCGTTCTTTTTAGCCGGGGCCACCAGGTTGATTCATAGACACTACAGTAAATCGGTGGTAGACAGCGATACTGTGTCAGGTTGAAGATTGGGTAGATAATTTGTGAATGATTATGTCAGGCTAGGCAGATTAAAATCAGGAGGAATCACACTTTTCAATGTGGGTGAGAACTTTAACGCAGTACACGTAGCAAGGTGTATATATATATATATATATATATATAAAAACATACAAACACTTCAAATAAATGCTGTTCTTTTTTACTTTCTACTCAAAGAATCTGCAAAAAAAAAAAAAAAAAAACTTTCAAAAACATAATAAAATATCCCAATGACCCACAACTTTTGAACTGTAGTGTATGTTCAGATGCAGTGGAGAGTCAGTAGTGTAGGGTCAGACCAAACTCATGGAGCAACATGAACATTTGAGACATTTTTCTGGACAAAACAGATTCTCAGAAAAACGTCTTTAAACTCACCTGTAGACCATGTTTCTGTGCAAAGGCCTGGGTAATACCGCTCTTGTAAAATCTAATCTAAGACAAAGTGCAGGGAACAAAAACAATCAGAATGGACAGTTAAACAAAAAAATACTCCATTTATGCGACATCAAACAAAGACCAAAGCTAGTGATCACAGACTTGTGAAAAGAAACACACAAAACTTCATTCAGAACTTAATTCAGTCATTTCAGTGAGTTGCGTCGCTACAGAGGCTTTTCCCTTTTGGCTACACAAATACAAAAGCCAAGGAAGTTACACAAGCACAACATACTCAATTATTCAGCAGTGCACCCACTGAAGTCTGACAGCACATTCACAACATCTGAAAAATGTGCATCGGATTCAAATCATAGGCACTACTGAAGGTAAGTGCTGATTTAATTGGCCCTAGGTTCAGGACAGGAAAGGAGATGATGACAGAGTGTGTGGAATGTGCCTCAAATATTTTGCTTCGCACGGGACAAGCCTTTGCACGAGCTTTGCTGACACGCACACACACATACACCCTCAGATGAAAAGTCACGCATATGCAACAACTTCACGCAAGATGATGCACATATCACGAACACTGAGGGAAAAAGAACAATAACATATTTTGACAGGAAAAGCAATATAAATCATACATTTTTTTTTTTTTTTAATTATCCATTTTGGCGTTAATTCAAATCATCATTAAATATAATTATGTTACATTTGACTGAAAACAATTTTGTGAGCAAGAGCATTTGCCTTGTATGTACTGTATGTAGGAATACAATTGAGAGACACAGAGAATTAAGTGTAATAAATATTTCTTCTCCTGCATGAATCTATGGAAGACAGAAAAAAAGGTACTTGTGACTTTTTATCTCATAAGTCTGCCTTTTTTCTTAGAATTTTAAGTTTATCATCTCGCTGTTGCTGTTTTTTTTTTCTCAGCCATGGAATACAATTTTTTTTAAAAAAGGTAATTGACTTTTTATCTCAGGATTATGTTTTTCCTCACAATTCTCCGTTTATATCTCGCAATCTTGTATTTTTATCTTGCAATTCTGAGCGTGAATTGTGAGATATAAAGTAGGCTGGTTCTCCTTTCTAAGGTCACAGGAGGGCTCTCAGACCGAAGGAACCAATCACCATTACAAATATATATTACAAATATTAACAATAAAAAAAGCTGGATGTAAATACAAAATCTATCATACTTACAGTCATTATAACAGTGATGCCCCCAAAATGGCCCAACACAGGAGAAGCAACAATGTCTGAATGCAAGAGAACAAGCTCCCTGAAAGACAGAGAAAAGCCTTTGACACTTCAGAGGTCAAGATAATGAAATATAAAGCGCTTCATCTTTCTAGAAAACAGCCTCGTGGTCTGTTCGGCTGATTTCACAGACCGCAACTGTAGTGATATTGTTTTATATACTTAACCCTGCTGTTGTGTTGAAAATCAACCCTTGACCGTGCAATTTGCCAAAAATCAACAAAATGAAAAACACTAGAGTCATGAAAAATACATAAAATCTATTGCAGCTTGTAAGAGATATAAAATATATCAGTATAGTGATAGGAGTCAATTTGACCCCAATATTTTTGTGAAATATTTATTTGATTTTTTTTTTTGTTTGTTTTAAATTATGCCTACTTGCAGTGACTATTACAACGAAGTATAAATAATACAGTATGTATCATTATTTGTACATAAATTGGTTTTTTGTGCAAATAGTTTTTATCCTTACTTGCACTGTAGATAGCCTCTGCTTTTTTATGTCAAACCCCTGTGAGGGTAAAATGGTAAATTGTTATTGTTGTTGCTTTCTTTTCTTTTTTGGTTTTATTTATTTATTTATTCAAAGTGCTGATTTTTGAAAACCTGGCATGTTTTAGTACAGCCTTTCCAAAACATATCTATGAGTCTAAACTTTGCATGCACATTCAAGGCCCTAAATGAGAAAAAGCCATACAATCTCAAAAAAGAAATGCATTGTTAACCAGTGTTTCAAGCAGTTAACAAATCGAGTATGGGTCAAAGGTATAATGTCAAGCCTCTAGATATAAGGGTCTAATAATCACACTTTATGTGCCTTTCATCACATATAAAGACAACAATCACGAATCTAATAAATATGTGAAAAACAAAAAATATAGTTTTATAACCAGCACACAGTCTTTTCACCTGCAGGTTTTCACTTGTTTGTTTCTCATTTCTCCTTCATCGCAATTGTTCGGAAAGAACAGATTTACACAACATAAATTCCTCAGGTCCGGAAGATTGAGGAAAAACAAAGACTGTGTCCCACTTCCACTCATTCTGAAAAGAAAACGATGAGGGTTAAATTGGTCGAACCAAATAAGTCATTATTGGTTAACCAGTGACTATTTTGGTCCAAAGACAAAATTAAACTGTGCGCATATTCTGTCAGTAATTACCTCAGATAAGACTAACTCTATCTATGAAACATAACTCTGAAAGAAACTTTACAGTGTGCTGACATGAAGAAAGAAAGAAAGAAAGAAAGAGGGTTAGTTTTACCTCAATTTAAGGTTACACAACAATAAGTGCTGATGTAATGTTACTAGAGCGCGAGCTTTTGAATAAGTCATTATTGGTTAACCAGTGACTATTTTGGTCCAAAGACAAAATTAAACTGTGCGCATATTCTGTCAGTAATTACCTCAGATAAGACTAACTCTATCTATGAAACATAACTCTGAAAGAAACTTTACAGTGTGCTGACATGAAGAAAGAAAGAAAGAAAGAAAGAAAGAAAGAGGGTTAGTTTTACCTCAATTTAAGGTTACACAACAATAAGTGCTGATGTAATGTTACTAGAGCGCGAGCTTTTGACGGTAACTGTTAGGCAGGGTTGCCAGGTTTTCCCAACAAAACCCGCTGAAGCGTTACTCAAAACAAGCCCAATCGCGTTTCGAGGGGGATCCACGTTAAAAATCGCGTTCCGGTGGGTAAATTGCACGTTTTTTGGCGGGGTTCCCCTGGTACATTTCGCATTCCAGGGGCTAAATATCGCGTTATTGGGGTCGCTTCAACCCGCGGCAAGTGTTAAAGTGGCCCAAATACGTGGGAAAACTGCGGACTTGGCAACACTGCTGTGAGGCTCGCGTGCCACTGTTTCCAGTGAACATACTCTTATCTGACAGAAACAAGATCAACAATGGGCGGTTAAAATGGCTTTTAAGGCAACCCACTTCATCTTGACTAACGGGCATCACTAGATTAACGTGATGCGATAAACGGCAACGCTTCCGTATCGCGTGAGACCTATGCTATCGTGAACTTTCGTGAACTTCTGCCGAGTTACTTCGTGAGGTTCACCGAAATTTATGACCCAGTGAGCTGATTGACAGCCCTCGGTCCAATCAAAACAGACTCGCCAGGCAACACTGGTCTGATATCATCCAATCAGATTTCGTCTTGAGCGGAATGGGCGTTGCCTGGCGAGTTGGGAAATGCAACTGTTGGTACTTCCAGTATATTGACTATCGAAGTACGTGAGGTGATCGATCAGCAAAGGAACTCTGGAGAGTTTCTGTAACCTCCCGAACAAATAACACACATTTAAACAAACCAATGGAAAACAACGAAACAGACGGAACGGGTGTTAAATATTATCGATTGTCAGAGGTGGAGGAACGGAACTCTTTTAAAAGCACATGGATTATCATTCACAATAAAGTGTACGACGTCACGAAGTTTCTCGAGGAGGTAAGTTTTAAAACAGCATCAGATGATAAATGTTAGTGCTAAAACATTCGCATTAAGGCACTGTCGGTTTGGAATTGTGTAATGCATGCATTACGTAGATGTATTGCATTGTGTAAAAAAGCATAGTACCTTTGCACTGGAATTGTGTAATGCATAATAATAGGACTAAAATATATGTGCATTATATAATGCAATGAATGAATGAATGAATGATGCATTTATATAGCGCAATAAATGAATACATTTAGAAAGTCAAAGTTGGACCAAAGAGATTTGATTACAGCAGTTGCCAACTGATGCGTTTGATGTGAAATTAGCATTAGTGCATTAACCAAGTTGAAACCTGAATATAACTAATAAAAAAATTAGATGCAGAGTTATTTTTGATTTAAGACTGATAAAGGGAAGCCATAGTTGCACCACACACTGTGGTGCAACTGGCTGTGATTGGATTATAAAACCTGACTTTTCACCTCTTTCCATATCATCTAGATCTAGAGAACTACCTAATCTAGTAACAATACTCTTGCTAGATCTAAAACTGCACACAAGGTATTTTAAGTTGCATGACATTATCAACTGATAATTTCCTAGGCAACATTTTTCAAAGGTCAAAGGGGTCAGTAAGCATGCTAAGTATTAGTAAGCATTACTGGGTTTGCTTGCGAGTTTGAACTGGATGATCTGATGTATTTGCTGGTGTCCACAGCACCCGGGTGGAGAGGAGGTGCTGCGAGAGCAGGTGGGTGGAGATGCCACAGAGAGCTTTGAAGATGTCGGCCACTCGACAGATGCACGCGAGATGGCCAGTTCGATGGTCATAGGAGAGCTGCATCCTGTAAGTCTGCCAGAACGCAGTATTATTGTTGAGCAATCGTGTGAAGAAGGCCTTTTGTTGCAGCATTAAGACATCAGATAGTGTCAAACACAGCTGATGAAGTTCCTGTGTGCTTTCTGAGAAAAACATTCAAACATATATTCACAATATACTCTATTTCTACTCTTATTGAAAGCAGAAAAAAAAAACGAAAAAGCTAGAGAGGTCTCAGTGGCTGTAATTTTAAATTGCATCTTGCATGTTTTGCATGTGTTGCTTTGCAGCCATCAGTCATTGAGGTCATGTACATATATTGCGCGATAAGTCGATATATTGATTATTGCGACAGGCCTAGTCAGCGCTGGCATACAAAGAGCCATGAGTAGCCATTAAGTCATTATCCATTTATAATTTCAGTGAAGTTATGACATCACACCAATGGATGCTAATGAGAACCTGTGTGATTTTAGGGAATAAAATAAAATAAATCACATGCTTCCCATTCCCCCTGAAATATCTGGGAATGATCCAATAAAAGTCTTGATTTTTCATCCTGGACAGCATCAGACCTGTTGATTCATAGCTGTATCTCATGAAATCCGAGATGTTTTCCTAGACCTACAGTGGTTCGAGATACTATCAGTAACCTGGCATCTATTTTTATTCCTGTTGGAGGATCTGTAATGCTGCTGGATTCGGCACAGATGCTATCAGACAGTTTTTGGCAGGAATGGAGACGGGCTGTGCACTTTTCAGAACTGAATTGAGAACGACTTTTAGATTCCAGTTCGATTCCTGAATTAAAAGTGAAGTAGCAAACTGGATAATAAAATAATTACTGTTTAAATAAATAATAATAATATTTCTTTTTAGTTTGAATGAGACAAATGATATTAATAATACTAATAATCGTTTGAAATACCACCTATAGAAATGTAAACACACACACACACAAATATATAACACTCAAATATATATATATATATATATATATATATATATATACATTTATTAGATGAGATTACTTGAATCCTAATATATATTTAAGAACGTAATACTTTTATTCAGCAAAATACTTTAAATATTTTATTAATATTTTATTTAAATATTAATATTTTAAAATACTTTAGTCGATATATTAATTTGAACAAAAGGGACAGTACAACATTTATAAAGTTACAAAAGATTTGTGTTTCCTATAAATGCTGTTCTTTTGAACTCTTTTGAACTTTTCTATTCAGCAAAGCATCCTGAAAAAGGATCTGTTTTCAACATTGATAATAAGATTTTTTTTTTTTTTTTGAGCAGCAAATCAGCATATTAGAATGATTTCTGAAGGATCATGTGACACTGAAGACTAGAGTAATTCAGCTAATAAATTACACTTTAACATATATTCACATAGAAAACACAATATGTTTTTACTGTATTTTTGATCAAATAAATGCAGCCTTGGTTAGCACAAAAACATTCTAAAATAGAATGAACAGTAGTGTGAATATATATTTACACACACTATGGATAGCTATATAAAATACATATATACATTGTAATTTTTGCTCAGGCCTGATAAGTAATTATTTTGACAAGCACTGTAAAGTTGATTTATGTGTTTTAGCCAGAGTGAGCCATTTCCTGGGTTTCTTCTGTGAGGCGTATTTGGAGTTTCAGCGCGAGAGCGCCCTCTGGCCTTTGGATGGAGATTTACTGCTAATCACAGAACCGTGCTTCACTGGAAGATACGCATGACAATCGCGATCTCGATTCCATTTCGATTTATCGTGCAGCCCTAATTTGTATAGCTGTTTTCAGTTGTGTAATACTATGTGGATACCATTTATTCATTTGAAACATCCGTGCTGAATTGGAGAATATCCTGAATATTATCACATGCATAAAAACAACATTTTGTTCCTCAAAGAAATAATTTAGTTTCACTTGAAATGTTGTTAATCTTCACGTCATTGCAAGTTGATTGTATTTGGACCAGAGAGTAAAAAAAAATAAAAAATGAATAAAATGCAAGATGTTACTGTTTTAACAAAATCAGGTAATTATTTAGTCATTGATATGCCAGTTCTGACAGATTTACTGGATATTCTGCAAGATTATTCATTGCTATCAGGATGAATCTAATGATATTCAGATTTTCCCCCAAAATAAAAATAAAAATTAATAAAATAATATAATCGAAGGGAAGATTATTTTTAGGGTCATATGTATGTGTGTGTGTTTTAAATAACAGTGTCACATTTTGCATTATCATAATGAGAGTGGGAAAGGAATTTCTTTAATTGTCATCAAAATAACTTTCTTCATATGTTCTATGCAAAACGAATTCATCTTTTTCTTTTGAATTTGGGGGGAAATATGAACCGGACATGTTCAGAATGTGATTGTACACAACCTAACCAAAAATACCATTATGTGCTTAATTAGACAATCAGCTAGAAGTCACCACATGTTAATTTCTGTAGTGAAGAGCAACACGGTTATAATCATATTTTTGGCTGCCAGTTACACATTTATGTGCCATTTAAAGGCGTATCAGTGTACCACTATGAACAGTGCTTATACATTCCCTTTTTTTTTTAACAAAACTGAATGTAATATACTTGTATGTGATATGAGATACAAGCAGCTTTCCCATAGAAACGTCCTTCCAGATGTTTACAGTGTGTGTTCATTGCTGTTTCAGTGCTGCTGCCACCTTAATGCTAACGACTGAGAGAATGACACATTGTAACGTTGACTGAAATGCACCAGTCAAATCATTCAGCTTTATTGTGTCCCAATAAACAAATAAACTGATTATGTGTCTTTCTGGAAACTTGTTTTAGTAAAAAAAAATTATTTCCATGCATTTTTGTAATGTAACATTTTATAGGGAAGCTATGTATGTACAGTGGTCCTGTACACTTACAATAAGACACAATATGAATGAATGTCATTTCACTATATAACATAAACTAAGTAGCATTTATGTTTAAGAAAGCTAGAACAGGACCACTTTCCAAGCAAAACACACATACATATATATATATATATATATATATATACACATACACATACATATATATATTATACACACACACATACTAGTTATTAAATATTTAATAACTGAAAAAGTTAGAGAGATTACTGATGATAAAACATGATGTTTCTAGTTGTTAAACGTATATGGATCATGTTCATAGTTAATGTAATGAACTGCATCAGTGAGAACTGACTTCATACATGCACTAAAAATCACTTTGACACCTGTTGGTGAATAGCTCAGAAATGTTGAGCTAGCTCTGAGAAAGCACCCAAAAACGAAACCTTGCTAATCTGGTGATTGTAAGAAACAGATCCATCATTAAGACACTTTTAACTTAAAACCATTGCTTTGGGCTAAAATCTGAGATCATAATCCATAATGCTTTCTCCAGTGAAAAAGTCAATCTCCTGTTGTGTCTCTCACATCAAAAATCCACCCACACTCTTTGTTGAACTGCTTTTTTGAACTGTTTTGGTTTGTGAACAGTGCTTGATCTGTGCAGATTTCTCTTCTGATTCAGACAATGTTTTCACTAGAGAAAGCATCATTGATTGATCTCATATTTTAGCCAGAAGCAATAGTTTTAAGTCAGAAGTGTCTTAATGATGGATTTGTTTCTTAAAACATGCAGCTTTTGGCTTCACAAGACATGGTCTGGAGTGGTGTGGATCATTGTGATGTTTTTTTCAGCTGTTTGGACTCTCATTCTGACGGCACCCATTCACTTGCAGAGGATCCATTGCTGAGCAAGTGATGTAGTGCTAAATTTCTCCATATCTGTTCCTATCAAGAAACATAAGAAATCATCTACATGTTGGATGGCATGAGGATGAGTACATTTTCAACACATTTTTATTTCTGAGTGAACTATTCCTTTAAGCGCAGACATCCGCTTTGCTATTTTGTTATCTAATGGAATGACATTCAGAAGTGTGAGATAGCGTTAGACCTTTACGGTAGTAGTAAAGAATGTTACAACACTGACATCTGCTGGCTCGTCGCAAAGACATTATTTTATATTCCTTTGGTATTTCTTATAAACCCTTGTTTCATATTTCTTGTTTGGATCTGATGTGGTAATTGTTGTGTTGAATCTGTTCAGTCCAAGTGTGTTACACTTAAAATAGCCTTAAATGTAGATCCAGAATATATTCTTATATTAAATATCAGATTTTATTGTGATTATTAAGTCCTCATCATACCATGTATTGTGCTTTCAGCCTGTACTTCGATTTAATCTGCTTTGGACTGTGTACTTTACACAATGCATGTAAAGGTAAATAAAAAGCCATTTTAGGTCGAGTGTATCTGTGCACTCGTGTTGTAGCTGGACATTAATGGTGTTGTAACAGTGTGTTTGTTTTGTCTGTGATAACAGCGTGTTTTGAAGATCTCACTGACCTGTGGACTAGATGGGACAGCAGTCAGAACGGCTGTCAAGAAAGCTGCTTTCTGCTGCTCACATCTGCACTGAAGCCTGTTGCTCATTTCCAGCAACTGCATTATAAATGTTTCCATTTAAAGCACTTTTACTGAATGTCCATCTCTTGGAGCACTGCAGGTGCTGATATTCAGACCAAAGGCATGATTGTGAATGGGATGTTATTCACTAAACAATTAGTTAATAGACCATTTTTTCCCCTCTGAAATGTAAGCTACTGTTAATAAATAGTTCCTTAAGTTGTCAGAGCATCAAGTGTTACATATGTCACTAGCAGCGCACAGCTCAGGAACAGCATGCTTTGAGTGACCATGGAGTGAAAGAAAACAGACAATTTTCACACACACATACGCACCACGGCAAGTGAAAACAGATGAGTCGAGTGATACAAAGTGTGAGCAATCCCAGTGATGTTACACTGTGTATCAAAACTCTTGGAACGCAGCATGAGCAATGAAATCTAAAGACGAGAACTGTTGTATAGGTCATTTAATGTTCTTTAATGTTATATTGTGGAAAATGTTTTTTTTTTATTCTTTACAAAAGATGTATATATAAACTTTATTATAGTATAGTATAGTATGGTACAGTACTGAGGAACAACAAATAAGCTCAATCATTTAAATAATGTCACAATGCAAAAATTTGAATGGTCCAATTGTTCCATTTATTTATTTTCACCCAAATATATTTTGGTGTATTTAAAAGGTATATTTATTGTATATTTAAGGTATGTGCTAGGTTATTCCTGAGATGGTCAGTGAATTAGATAACACATTATACACACTATAAATTTTCACATTACAGCATGTACTTTATTTTGTATGTATGATTGTATTTATTTATTTATGAGCAAAAGCACTGTCATGCTGTAATTACTATTTATTTATTAATAAATTATATTATAAATAAATAAAAGTGCTGCAATGCTGTTATGTGGAAATGTTTTACATGAAATATATTATATTATATGGGGAACAAATGAGCTCAATCATTAATATAACAAAACAAACAATTTTAATAGCCAATGATTCCAATAGGCTTCGAATTTATATATATATATATATATATTGTGGGTTGGCTGACAATCTAGATGGGAGTGCCTGGATCTAAAAATCCTCCTGACCTTGTGGAATTGTCTCTTTATAGAAACTTTATAGAGTTACTTTTTCCTGCAGCAGCTGAATAAGTTCCGCGTGTATAGAGGCGCATGTTGACATCTGTCTCTGTCTGACGCACTGAATTCACTCCATTTATCTGCCTCGTGTACAGCAGCGGTGGGCGTAACCAGCATGCAACTGATTACTAGACAAACCACCAATATAGCACCGCGCATATATGCTCCTGTGCGACTGTTATTAACTCATAAGACCGCGCCTCTGGAGTGATTCTGTCATTGGAGATTACAAACCTGGAATGATGGACATAATGGACGAGGAGCAGACGGAGAACGGACTGGACTCCGATGATGATCTTCGATCCGAGGAGATACCCGAGTACCTGAAAGACAGGAGAAGAGCCAAGTCCTTACCTGCGTATCCAGAGCAGGTGAATCTGTACCACCAGATCTCCCAGAACTGCACGAAACGCGTGAAGTTCGCGGACGCGCTCGGCTTGAATCTGGCGAGCGTCAAGCACTTCAGCACCAGCGACGATCCTCAGATTCCAGCCAAAGTCTTCACCAGGCTGAAGAGCTTCCCTCTCCACAAGGACCGGGAGTTCATGGATGACTTGTGCGTGAACATCAAGCCCTCTCTGGCTCTGGACTATCTGGTCCCGGCGTTCAAGACGCCCGTGGACACCGGTGACTTGGAGACGCGGCTGACGCGCTGCCGCGTCGCGCTGGAAAGCGTCACGGTCACGCAGTTAGATATCCGTGGGATCATACGGGCGATGGGTGGGAGAGAGGTTGGGGTCAGGTATACTTTCAACGACTGGCTGTCGTTCGTGGACGTGCAAGCCAACCCCGTGCCCACAGAGTACAAGACGCGCGGAGAGCGCTTCTCCTTCACCATGTACACGCCTCCTTTCTTAGGTCCGAGCGCTGCTGTGCATTTCGCCGTGTACATGAGGGATGATAACTCTGAGTTCTGGGACAACAACGATGGGATGAACTATTCCCTGAAGTAGCCTACCACAGCTCGTCATCCAGCCAGACGCGATATGAAGTGATGCGCTTTTACGCAAGGATTCATTACGCGTTTCACCGCGCACTGTTACCTGCTCTCAGAGAGGTTATATACAGTGGACTGACATGTCCTAGTATTAAAATCTGCTTTAAAGAAATAGTTTACCAAAAATGAAAATTCCTTCATCATTTAGTCACCCTCATGTTGTTCCAAACTCGTTTGATGGTGTTTCTTTCGTGGAAAGATATTTTGCAGAATGTCCAAGCTGCTCATAGAAAGTGGATGAGGGCTGTTGAGCCCCAAAAACACCAGAAAAGTGCCATAAATGTGGTCCATATGTCCCGTGTGTTATGTTCTAAAATTCTAATGTCACATACTTTTGTGTAAGAAACAAACTTATATTTAAGTTATCATTTGCTAAAACTCGTCTTCTGCAGTCATGCCACATTTTAATTGAAGCTTGTTTCTGTCATGGTGGTGGAAAAAAAAGGTAATTACGTCTTTTTAAAAAAACTCAGAATTGCGAGATATAAACGTGCAGTTCTAAGAAGAAAAGTCAGTTGTGAGATAAAAGTCGCAATTTCTTTTTTTTTGGTTTCATTTCGTGAAAAAATGAAAAAAATAAAAAAGGAAATTCACATGGGGGGAAATTCAGAATTGCAAGATGTAGGCTAAACTCACAATTGCGAGAAAAAAGAAATCTGATTTCTGAGTTTACATCTTGCAGTTATAACTTTTTTTTTTTTTTGAGAGAGAGAAAATTTCAGATTTGTGAGATAAGAAGTCACAATTACCTTTTTATCTATCTATCTTTTTTTATTTTTTTTATTTAATGCTGTAGCGGAACCAAGCTTCCATACATTTGCCTTCGGTTCAGAGCATTCAAAAGCATTGCGATATGCCTCGAGACACACAGAACCAATGAAATTTGACACTTTTGACTGTACAAATCAAAAATGGAAGCTATGGAGGAGAAGCTTTTCAGTGTGTTTCAGACTGTTTTTCACTCACACAAAAACTCCAGAGAACTTTATTTTTTGTGTCCTTTTTGAGCTTTAGGCTACTATGTTTTTGTTGTATGGAAAAGAGCAGCGTGGACATTCTCCCAAACATCTAATTTCGTGTTCCACAGAAGAAATAAAATCATACAATTTGAAATGACACGAGGATGAGTAAATAATGACAATTTAATTTTTTTTTTTTTTTTATACTGAAATGATGCAGGGAATCACACACATTACCTTATGGTTTTCTTTCACAAATGAGTCATGCCATTTATTAATAATGCAAAATGTATTTTTTCTATCATGGCTCATGCACAAATACTTGACACTGTCAAGTTCTTTGTAATGAAGAGGCTTAACATAGTAGTAGTAGTTTGATCTGAGAGTATTCATCAGAATTCTGGGACAAATTCATAATTTTTGACATTTTTCTTGCAATTCCAAGTTTACATCTTGCAATTCTGACTTTTTGCCAATCTGTTTTTTCCCCCCACCATAGAAATAAAGACTTTTTATCACAATAGCAAGTTTATATCTTGCAATTCTGATATCCCCCCCCCCCTCAGAATTGCAAGACGAAATGTCTGAAATGTGAGCTAAAAACAATCACAATTAACTTTATTATTGCTATTATTATTATTGTCCTGTGGTAGAAACAAGCATAGTATAAAGGGTTGGAAGACATCAAAACTAAATGTTTAGAGTTCCCTCAATGTGAGGACAGAGATCAGCTGTGTTGAAAGTAAAGCAGGTCTGTATTCAGTCTATATGTACAAATATGAGATAAGCTATCTATCATTTCAACTAGCTTTGTTGCCGTTTCTCCAAGTGTTGTATGCTCTATGCATCTGTTTGACTATGAGCAGTGCAGAGGGAAGAAGGTCTTCTGTTTTGCAATATGCAAATGTTTGTTTGAAAATATGCAAATATTCTTCATGAATGCACAAGTGATTTCATTTAGCAGCTGGGATTATACTCCGCAAATGATGCTTGACAAAGTGCAGCACAATCCATTTTTGCAATGTTACGTAACCATTTCCTTTTTCCTGATTATGTTTGCGACAACAGTATACCAGGATGAAATGACAACCATTGAGATGCAATTAAAATATCTTTGGATATAGTGTGCATGTTTTTCATTTTCTTTGCATATCTGCACAGTCAATATAATATAAACAAAAGCAAAACTGAAAAAAAACATTAAACATTGTGTATGTGAAACGTTCCAGGTCTGTAAATAAACAGCCCAAGTAAATATGTCAATAATGTAATATTTGGTTGTTAGACAATATTAGGATATATATATACATATACATATACATATACATATATACATATATACAGTGGGTGTATATATATATATATATATATATATATATACACACACACACAGGAATACAGGTTTTGTCATTTACCATTTAAAAGATGAATGTATAATATTTACCATGTTGGGCAAATGCATGACATCTTATGTGAATATGAATATTTAAGCTACTAAAAGGTAGCAAAACTGATTAAGAAAAAAATACTGAAATATTTACAAATGATTTTATTCTTTTTTATGTTGCTTTAATATCACAATACAATAAATGTCCAAATAAAATAGTCTTATTTTAATTCTCTTTAACACTGTATTGATTAATGCAAGTTGCTTCTGTCAACGGTACCTGCCTCATGAATTCATGTAAATGCATGTGCATAATTTCATTTAGATCTCTGTTTACATGATGCACTTAGAACTGGGCCACACATTTAGGCTACGAGCATATGAGTTTTAACAAAACTGCTTGCTTTTGCTATACACACACTCTGTTCGTAGGCGTTGGGTAATGTGATCTTTATACCCGTCACCTTTTACTAGGCCACCGCTGGCTGAAAACTAACAGAATAAGCTATTTTTAACCGCTCTGCCTTGTCAGACACCTTTACACTTTGTGAAACCAACCCTTAGGAACAGATCAATGAAATTGGTCATTTACAGATAACCCACACAAAGTAATGTAAATGACATGAATTTATTGTAACATTAACCACCAAAGCATGAAAAATACTACAGTATGAACAGTTATATATCAGTTCATGAACACAGAATCTTAAACGACTGTGTAAACAGGAGTGGACGTGAGATCGACCCATCATGACCGGCCTGATGCAGATGCTTGAAGAGGAAACATGAAGACAGACAGACAGAAGACCCGCAACAGTCCTGTATAGCCAGAGAACACCTGAGCGCCGCTCCCACACCACATCAATCGCTCTTCTCTTCCTCCTGTTCAACAACCGTCTTCTGGATCTCATACATCTTCCCTACGCACACCTGTGGACAAAGGACAGAGATCATGTCAAATTACTAGAGTTGCCAAAGTAAAAAAAACTAAAAACAGTAAGATTACATAATGTTTAACACTTTAATATTTACAGTATGACTATTATCATGGAATTATTGAATTCAGATTTTGTTGACGAATTCCAAGGCAATTTAATTTTTCATAATTGCGCAGCTATACTGTAGTTTCACATTTGTGTGATTTCCTTTGACTGGTCAAGAATAATAAATGAATGTCCCATACCTACACATTCTCATGACTGGTTTCTTATTTGTCAGTAAATGTTGGAGAGAGAACTTTTCAATGGCTAATTCCTTTATAAATTAAAAATGAGGCTTTTATCAAAAGAAAAGGAATTTGAAGGTTTTATATGGCAAAATTTAATTATCAAAGCTCAATATTAACAACAAACCAATTAACAACAAACAAACTGCACCACTGACAATACCAGAAGACCAATATCTTTGCTCATTTGACATAATTTGGTTTTCATAAAATTATTTATTTTATATTTATACATTATGATACGCGTTTTTAATTTTATTGTGCTCTAAAGAAAAAAAAAATATATATCAAAATTTAACTAAATACAATAATTTACACCGCCTGAGAAATCACACTCTTACAAATAAATAAATAAATATAATAATAATAAAAATAAAGAAAAACCTACACACACACACACACACACACAGTCTCACACACGTGCACACAGACACAGACACACACACACACACACACACACAAAAGATTCATTTGATTACTAAAATATCACTGAAAAATGGTTCTTCTATGGCACTGTTGCAAAAATCCCTTCTTGGTTTTGCTTGGCACTTTTATTTTTGAGAAATAAAATATTAAAGGAATAAATCACCCTGAGGCCATCCACGATGTAAATGAGTTTCTTTCTTAATCAGAACAGATTTAGAGAAATGTATCACGTGCTCACCAGTGGATCCTCTGCAGTGAATGGGTGCCGTCAGAATGATCATTATAGCATTTTAAATTTAAATGGTCGCATTCAGCTAAAATATGAGTCCATAATCCATAATAACACTTCCTGCAGTGAAAAAGTCCATCGCCTGTTGTCTCTCACATCAGAATCCAGCCACATATTTGTTTAGAGCTGTTTTGGCTTGTAAACGGTGCTTGATCTGTGCAGATTTCTCTCCTGATTCAGACCAGACCACTTTCTCACTGGACAAAGCATTATTATGGATAGAGGACTTGCATTTTATTAATATTTTTATTTTTTTTAAGTTAAAAATTTTCTGATAGATTTGTTTGTTACAAACACGCTTTTCACTTCACAAGACATTAACTGATGGACTGGACTGGTGTGGATTACTTGTGGATTATTGTGATGTTTTTATCAGCTGTTTGGACTCTCATTCTGATGGCACCCATTCACTACAGAGCATCCACTGAGGAGCAAGTGATGCAATGCTACATTTCTCCAAACCTGATGAAGAAACAAACTCATCTACCTCTTGGATGACCTGAGGGAAATGGATGGTCTGAGTAAACATTCACTAAACTCTCATTTTTGGGTAAACAAATGTCTCATACTTCACCAACTCCAACATCTGACTGCATTCGGGTATGTTGCACCCACATTCATTTATTGAATCAAATCCTGATGGAAAAATCAATAACCAACATTTCCTGATGGAACAACCTACATTATTTAGTTGCGGAATACCTTGTTTGTCTCTGAAATATATTATGCCATTTATGTATTCTGATTTCATGTAACTGAAAACATTCAAAATAATGGAACACACTTTGAAAGGAAAATATTGAGAGGCAAATTTGAAAAATGAAAACTCTGAGATTACTTATTGTACCTTAAGAACATGAGATTAATCACAAAACATGTTTTAATCTATTAACACCCCTCCAAGAAAACCCTTTGTTCTTTTAAACCTTCAGAAAAACTGATGACAGGAACTTCACAGCACTATATTTGAATAAGACAAAATACAGCTGTGTTGAATGGCAGATATGCATGTAAGATCAGAGCAACTGTGTTAGAAAAGTGGACTAAAGTCCAAAGAATATGTTGTAATCTTTATTTGTTTTCAGCTGACGAGAAAGAGGCCAGCAGCAGGCTAAATCAATACTGAACAGAGAGTCAGGCCAGAGATACGGCCTTCATGATGAACGAGGACAA